ATCGAGTTTTCCCCAAATTCTGTATTTAAACACATGTAATTCTATGGCTTATTTCTCGATAATGAGAAATCCTCGGATTCTGATTTATGGCTCATTTGTTAGCTTAAGATGTGTATTTTAAGTGGTACAAATTTAGTTCATATACCAATGGTATGCCATATCAAAATCAATGAAAAACAAATAATTTTTATGTTATTCTATGGGATATTCTATGGTAATAATTTTATAGTTATGTTTATATGATAATTAGTGTTTTATTCTGGAGAGTCCTCACAAATTTATTTTAAACATTTAGTGTTAATGATGGTGAAAAATATTAATTAATTTGACAATTATAACTTAATAAATATAACTAACTTCGAGTAATAAACTCTCATAACATGTTATTTTTTGTTAACTAATTGTAAGTATGCTATCTAATCATATTTAAGTAACTAAAAATTATCTGCCTTATATCATAATTCAATGATTTCTAAGACAATAGGCATTGTAATAGTGTTTGTTTCCAACCACACCCAAAAACTTCGTCTTAATTATAGTTAATGTCTAATGAAATACAGTTTTAATATAATTTTCTAATTATATGTAAAATATGGACCAAAAGAATGTGACAAATATGTCCACTCTATCGGCAGTGGAGTCCAGTAATAGTTGACCTATACATACAAGTCATGTGAAGCCTACGGAGGAACAGGTGTCCAATGATTCACAAAATGAAAGACAAGTTTTAACGAAAAAATAATAATAAATATTTTCCAATCGATTCACTTATTTCGTGTCTTCGACGACGAGAGAGGTTTACATATATTAATAACGAGGCGTGACAAGTATTTTTAATAAACTAATTGTACAGTATTAAACTGTAATTTGTTTTTATTTAAAGTGATTATAAAATACCCGCTAGTTATGAATTTTATTCTAAGTAAAACTAGGGTATAATTAGTAATATTTATAAATATTTGTGAAATACAAATGAAGACTTTGTGAGAAATTAAAATAATATATACTTTTAATAATGTCATCAATATTAAATAAATTTCCAATTTGTGAAAATATTCCACAAAACCTAAAGGATCAGATCAAATTATTCCACGTATTTTATCAAAGAAACGAATTTACAAATGTACCCGGTGGTTCCAACATATTATTTTCCACCAATGATGACACCGTATATGGAATGGGGTCTAATAATTGGGGTGTACTTGGACTGGGTCACAATAGAAAAGTTGACCCACCCGTCATAATCGATGGGTTATGCCATAAATATATTAAAAATTATTTTAACAGTGAAACTTTCATATTGGGATTGACAACTAACAACCGCGTATACGGTTGGGGAAGCAATTGTTATGGTGAATTGGGCAGGGCTCTTACTCAAGTTGGCAATTATTTAACACCCGAATGCATAATATTTAATGACAATGCTGATATTTGCGATATAAGCTGCGGAACCGCTAGTTCTTTAGCTCTCACGTCAAATGGCGAGGTATACGCGTGGGGATGCTTTAGAATAAAGGGCCATGTGCTCAATTCTCTAAAATATAAACCTTATAAAATTATGTTCCCGGATAACTGTGAAATTAAATCAATTTATTGCTACAAATCCCTGAAATTCGCAATAACATTAGATGGCCTAATATATAGTTGGGGTGATGATGAGTATTATCAATTAGGTCATGAGAAAGTGGGTTTCCAACCAACACCAAAAATAATAGCAAATATGTTTAATGTTAAAAATATTACATGTTGCGATAATATAACATATTTTTTAACTGGTGATGGTTTAATATATAATTGTGGCAAATACCAAAAGAACAACAAAGATTTTATTGCCAAATACCCAGTGTTGCTGAAAAAAGATATTGAAATTATTGAATTTGTCAACTCTGATACCATTCAACCTGCCGATTGTTGCTTTGCAAAAGGTGAAAACGAAGTTTACTTCATTCATAAAACAGATTTTATAAAATTGCCTTATACAAACATTTTTGATGCACTCGCCGATACGATCAATATGATATGTAAAACAATAAATATACAACAAATTCCGCAAATTGAAAATAAGTTAATTGCTACAACACTTGCTACTACTAAAAGTCAAAATGTTCATAATTGGATAGGTAAATATTTTTAATAAAAATTTTAATTGAAAAATTGTATGCTATATAACTCAATGAAAACGCTGAAAGGACCCATATACTAATTAAAAATGTAATATATTTTGAATGTTAACGTGATTATAAAATATAATGTAGGATTTTTTAACTAAATAATTCGGAGTACATTTAATTTTTAGTAAAATGATTTACATACAGGGTAGCCGGTAATTAGAAAATACCCTTTTTATTCTAATTCATTTTAATACCGTGAAGTTAATTTAGATATTATGTACATTATAATAATCCTGAATAGTTAGGCTTTTATATGATATATAACTTTCCAATGTTGTTCTTAACCCGAATTTTACAAAAAGAATTTAATTAAAAAGTTACCATAATCTTGTGTTTTTGTATTCAATTCATAGATATTTGTGCATAAGGTTAAATTTTATTCAAATTATATAAAACCTTAACTATCTAGGATAATTTTAGTGTATATTTTATACAAATAAACTACAGGGTATTAAAATAAATTAGAATCAAAAGGGTATTGGTAATTACCGGCTACCCTGTATTATTATTATATTATATAAGATTTTTAACTTAAATAACCTAAATTTCAATATATCTATTTACCGTTTTACCAGTAATATATTTTTAATTAACAATTCATGAGAAAAACAATGTTAATAATAATAGTATCATTATAACGGCATTTATTTAAATATAATATATAAATGTATGTAATAATATATCTTTTAAGACCATAATTTCGAACGGCATTATAATATCCTTTCATATATTGGAGCTGGCTCATTTGGTAATGTATATAAAGTACAAGAAAAGGGATTCATAAAAAAAGAGATTTATGCTATTAAACAAATTAAAATTGAAGGTAAATTATTTAACATTATCTAAAATTAGCATATCAATATTAATAATTACACTTTAATTGTCAAAGTTCAAAATAATTTGACATTTAATATTAATAATGTTATATTCAAATGTTATATCAATTAATTGGCACAGAATGTGAAGATTTAAAAAGTTGTCTTGAGACAAATTTTAAAGTATTTGAAGAAATAAATAAATTATCTATGATAACATCGCCGTTTACTGTTAACATAGATAAAGTATGGTTTGAAAACAACTATTCATATATTAAAATGGATTTTTATTCACAAAACCTTAAATCTATTATTGAAAACAAATGGCGGGTTTTTGGTCGTTATATCGATGAACCCATGAATTTAATCGAGTACTTCATTTCTTGCGAAATATTTAAGGAACTCTTAGAATGTGTTCAGTATTTACATGAATTGAATCCACAGATCATTCACAGAGACCTCAAACCCGACAATATATTGATCGCCGAAAACGCAAGAGAGGGTCGATTCGTGAAGTTATGTGACTTCGGTTTGGCTGCACTTCATAATTACCTGAATCCTAATCACACGGGTGGTGTGGGCACTGTTAGATACATGGCACCTGAAGTTAGGATTAGCAATTTGAAATACACAAATAAATGCGACATTTATAGTCTGGGAATGACTACATATGAATTGTTCAGTGTGGAGTATGAAATGTAAGCGGAAAAATAGTTTAAATTCATTTTGTTTACACAATAATTAAGTCAAAATATTTTTTATTTGATTAGTGGCAATAATTTAAAACATCTCGAAATGAATGGAGAAATAACAAAAATGGAGATAATATTAGACTCCATGTGTGAGGTCCAGCCCTATAAAAGGCCCGATTGTTCACACGTATTGTCACAATATAATGAATGGGTTATCGATTGCAATCGTATCACTGAATTGGAAAATTTCAAACTAATATTAAACAAATTGAAAACCCAATGCGACACCAATTTTTATTATAATTTCATAATTGACAAGGCTAAATTAAATTTCATTGAAATTGAAAATATTTATTTTAGTTCATTTGAAGAATTAGAGTTCATTGGTAAAGGATTATATGGTTATGTGCGTAAAGTGAGAAATAAAAGCACCAATGACATATATGCCATTAAAATGATTGAACTGACAGGTATTTACAATTCTGAATTACAAAATGACTAATTTATTTAAAGAATTTATATAAATCAACTTGTTTTGATAGGTTTAAATTATGATAAAACGAAACAATTACTTAATGAGCTTGGCAAGTTAAAACAAATGACCTCGGATTATATAATAGAATTGAATGACTTGTGGTTGGAGTCCAAAATCATTTACATAAGAATGGAGTATTTTGAGAAAAATCTTAGAGATTTTATTCATGGAAAACAACAGGAATCCGGTCGACAACCGGGTCATGTTATGGATGTGTCCGAGTATTTCTTTTCGTGTAAACTTTTCAAACAAATCTTAGAAAGTGTTCAATATTTACATGAATTGAATCCCCAGATCATTCATAAGAATCTAAAACCTGAGAATTTTTTAGTCTATAATAAACCCCGTCAAAAACCATGGATTAAAATTAGCGATTTTTATATAAATTGCACCATGATGAAAAATAGAGATGATAACTCAATGATATATACGTCACCTGAATTACTATCTGAATGTGACAATATAACATTTCATACTGATATCTATAGCTTAGGCGTAATTGCCCAAGAGATATTTGATTGCAAATTTGAGTAAGTAAATATTATTATATTAATATTATTAATAATTAAAATAATTATTGTATTTATAAGGGAATCACCAACATTAAAATTTGATAAGTCTATTTCAATCAATATTCATGAGCTAAGTAAAATTATATTAACCATGGTAAGTCCTATTTATGATGTGAGACCGTCATGTAGCCATATATTGAACAAACGAAATGCCTGGGAAGTTAGCAAGGAAAAGTTTGTTAGTAGTTTAACCATGGAACAAAGAAATGAAATTTTAATAGGATTACTTAAAAAATAAAACATTTTTAATAATAATTTGTTGTATATTATAATATTTAACTCAAAATTGAAAAAATTTTATAAATATTATACTCCAATGAGCTTTCAATTCAATGTAATGATTACGATAACTATTATTTATAATGTTATTTAATAAAATGTAAAAAACATATTAATTAAATCGTGTACCGAATATATTGCACTTACCATTGAATAATATTTATTTAGATTTTAAATTTCGTGCCAATAATGTATAAAAAGATTTGGAACTTACCATGGTCAGTTTGGGTGTATTTATTGTTATTTTAATATTTGAATTTAAGTGCCAAGTTTACGTATTTGTATCTATTTATAAGAACTTAAAAGATTTGTTTATTATGTCACATGTATAATAAGTTATATAATCTAATCGTAGGTTAATGTTAGTATTTGTTTGAAATAGCTTCAATATTGCTAGATCAGTTTAATTATAAATTGATATATTCTTCACACGTTTTATATAATTTTAAATACACTATTACAAATTAGTTTAATAACAAAAGTGAATTAATTGTAAAAATACTAGAAAATTACTTAAATATTTAAATAATAAATATAGACATGTAGTGTAATAAACTCGCATATTATATATAAAAGTTTAAATAATTGCTTGATTGGTGTTAATTAAAATGATTTAATAATTTATAAAATTATATCTTAAATGAAACCTTTCACAAAACTTATAGAATGCCTTGATCAAATTCATTTAACTAAGTCAATTTATAAATTTATTGAACAAATATCACATTTAAGTGATTATAAAGTTTTATATTTGGAATAGCCATGTTCAGAGCTCTCATTTCAAGGAATACTAATGCATAGCATCACGTGAAAAAATATGATAAGAAAATACTTGATAAACATTAAAATTCTGAAAGCATGTGATTTTGCTGTAAACATATTTTGATTTTCACTTCAATTGCTAACAATTGAAAATATTTTAGT